AAGAAGAAGAAGAAGAAGAAGAAGAAGAAGAAGAAGAAGAAGAAGAAGAAGAAGAAGAAGAAGAAGAAGAAGAGAAGGAGGAGGAGGAGGAGGAGGAGGAGGAAGAGAAGGAGGAGGAGGAAGAGGAAGAAGAAAAGTGAGACATAGGAGACTATAAGGTAGGCATGTAGATGCTGCCCCCACTTAGCATTGCTAAAATTAGTTCATTGTTTCTCTCTTGACTTCTACATATACAATGGACTCACGTATCTACAACTGGCTCAGACTCTGCTTAGGAAGAATGTGGGTTTTCAGAGTTTCTAACCAAAACATCCAGATTAGATAATGATAGGATTGTAATTTGATTATTTCTCTCAACCAAAATTCATGTTGAAACTTTATTGTCATTGTTTTGAGATGGCCTTTTCACAAGACAGATAAATAGATGAATGGAATAGAGTGGAAGATCCAAATATACCTCCACATGGTCACAGCTACCTAATTTTCAACAAAGGTGACAAAAAGAGAAATGAGAGCATCTTCAACAAATGGCTCTGGGAAAACTGAATATGCCCATGTTAATGAATGGCCCTAGATCCCTACCTCACTCTGTAGAAAAGTCAACTCCAAATGTAGTAAAGACTGTATTGTAGGAACTGAAGCTGTAGAAATATTAGAAGGAGCACTGGGGGAAACATAGACATGGGTAAAGACTTCTTGCATAATACTTCAGTATCTGGAAATCAGGCCAGCTATTGACAAATGGTTACTCAAGAAATTTAAAAAAAAAAAACTTACAGACGTAAAAAGAAAGTTTTAATTGAGTAAAGACTCAACCTACAGAATGGAAAAAGAGATAAATGAATAGGTTACCAAAAGATAAAGCACAAATGGACAATAGACAGATTGTCCCTTTTTCCTCTTTGTCACTGTGATAAGCAAGCGGACCACAAGCAACCTGGGGAAGGAAAGGTTTTACTTGGCTTACAGGTTATGGCTGATCATTAAGGGAAGCCAAGGCAGGAAGTCAAGACATTTACCTGGGCAGGAACTGAAGCAGAAACCACAGAGGAAAACTGATCACTGACTTGCCCCCTTGCTTGCTCATCTACCTATTCAGGGATGGTCCCACCCAGTCGAGTGGGTTGCTCCACATTTTTAAAAGACAAGTCTTTGGTATTGGATCACCATGGGAAATTATAAAATTATAATTTCAAAATATGGGAAATTATAAAATTATAATTTCAAAAATAAAAGAAATAATTTTTTTAAAAAAATATCTGTCTTTTAAGTGATGATTAGATGATACTCCCATGAGCAGATAAAGCTCATGATGGGGGGAGTGAGATAGTTACCTCAGGAGGTGAGTTCTTGGTTGAGAAACTAGAAAAGACTTGTGTCTGGAACAAAACCCATTAGATACACCAGAGTGTTGCACTGTTTTGTGTGGGCTTGATTTTCCCACAGCTGTGACGTAGGTGTGATGCTGTGGAAGGGAAGCACTACAGGTTTGAAAGAATACGGTGTCTCTGGGGAACTTAGCCATCTAAGGACCTCATCTGTCATTCCAGAGCTCTAAATTATCCTTCAATTCCATGTAGTCCCAGAGCTTGAAACAGCGTGACCTCTAGGAAAGCACTTGCAGATAAAAATGAATAAGGGGTTGAGGTCCGAAGCTTTCAATAATTGTACTGAGCAAGGCTTGCTTATTCTGATAGGTACGGTCCATCGTGGAGATAAAAAAATCTCAACAGCACAGTGCCGTGTTACTTTTTGTAAAGTCATATATCAAAACTTATTATTCTTTATCATATGCCATGCAATGTGTATATTAACTTCACAAGACCAAGAATATTCCCTACCTCGATGATGAAGACTCTGGCATACACACAGAATAAGCGAAGGGCTCTCACAGCCAGGGAGAGCAGAACAGAGACACTTATCAGGCAGCCTGGCTGCAGCTGCTTTTCGCCACCTCCTCCTTTGTAGCTGCCCTCTGACACAATCACTTATGAACTGTCTGGCCTCTACAGATTTTTAATCAAGATTGGGACATCCATTTTATTCAAACTTCCTGCTTCCCACATAAGGCCCAATGCCCTTTCCAAACCCACTGTTCCTGTAGACAGGCCTTTGTTCCTATCCCCAACCAGCAACAAAGCCAAGTTAAGAGTCCAGTCACCCAGTGCAGTCATGCTGAAAGACTGAATACTGTGAATGATTTGATTAGCATCATCCTGTGAATGATTTGATTAGCAAAGGACACCTGCCCTCTGCTCAGAACTATGCTAAGAAATAGTCTGTGGCTTCAAGGAGTTCGCAACAATGCAACAAAATGCCTGGAAGTGAGTAAGTGGAAGGAAGAAGGGGAGTCCTGCTGAAAAATTTGTCACAGCTGTTGGGTCATGAATCTATCATGAGTAGAACCTGGGTGTGAAATCATTTTTCACACCTCAGAAAAGAATCTGGTAGGTTAACAGCGATGCCTGCCTCCGATCCCAGCCCTCAGGAGGTGGGAGCCAAAAGATAACCACTTCAAAATCATGAGACCCTTATCTCAAAAAATTATAAAGAAGAGTTGGGAGTGTAGCTTAGTGGATAGAGTGCTGACTTAGCCATGATTTGATCCCCAAAACTGCATAAACCAAGCATGATAGTGTCCACCTCTAAAACCCCAGCACTTAGGGGTGGGTGGCAGGTCGACAATCAGGAGCCCCATACCATTGGCTACTTAGTGAGTTCAACGCTATCCTGAACTTAAGGAAATGCTGTCATTCATATATACAAATATATATATATTATATGCAAATATATATATATATATATCAAAGACAAGAGGCAGGTGGGGAGGGGATAAAGAGAACAAGAAAGAGAAAGGGAAGGAGGGATGGATACAGACAAACATGGTGTCTCTGTGTATCTAAGATCCAGTAACGTAACCACCTCATTCATGGGGAAGTGTAGAGAGGGGAGAATAAAAGAAGAAAGGCAAACTACACAGAAGAGCCCTGTTGGTTTTATATAAATTTATATCTAATGATTTTACCAAGAAAGACTCAGGAGTCAGAGGCTAGGGTGAAAAACTGCTAACTTGGAAAGGTTAAGGAGCAACTAGCTGACCTTTCCCCTTCCCCAGCATCTCAGAAAGAGATCTCTCTTCCACTGTTCCAATCCAAAGGGGACCAACAAACTCGATAAGTCCCTCCCTTCTACTTTCTGTGTGTTTCTCTATTCATTTTTCTGACTCCCTCTTTACTCTCTCTGTCTACTTCCTGTCAAATAGCTGCTGTCTCTCCCTCTTGACCTCACATTTTTATTTAATTAACACAATCTTGGGATTCACCATGTGACCAAATATCCCACAACAGAACCCTGAAAACTGTGGTTTCCCCCAAGAGCAGACTCACCATAGTAATTAAGTACAGCGCTATACAGTGCATACACCTGAACTTGACTGGATGCTGCAAGGCAGAGGGAATTTCCGCAATGAGAAAGTGCTGAATGACAGTCCATATGAAGACTCCTAGGAAAAAGGTAGACAAGTTCACCAGCAACACCAGCCATATGGCAGTCATGGTCCCAAGGCTCCAACAACCTGCTCTCGAGGCCCTGAGAAGCAACTGTCCCAAAGATCTTCCTTGGGAACAACTGACATAGATTTATGGCCTACCACCTCCACTAACTCCTTTCAGACTACACTTGACTTAGTGGCCTATATAGCCTCTGGGATAGACACACAGGTCAACAGGATCCAGAGGAACCTGCTCCCCAAGGAACAAAGGGACAAAGAAAGATGACCTGGATCCCCAAAGTAGTTTGAAAGACAGGATTACAAAGACAAACTGGACAGGAGCTTTCCCAGCTTCTGTCTCTCCGCTGAAGCACAGGGGAGAGGTCTGCCAGGAGCACAGGAGGCCACAGCCTGACCCTTCGCTGAGTACCAGGAGATATGAACCCCATCTGCAACAGTTTGCCTAAGGAATTTGAGGCCATCCAGTTTGTAAACACTTGCTAAACTAGCAAGTCTTTTCTCATTTCTGACGAGTTTACCTTAGATGAGCTCTCTGCTCTCTGAATGCGGAAGGCAGAGGAGCCCAGAGATGGGTGAACTGTATCTAAGTCAAGCCCAGGTGTGCCTACAGGTACCAGGCATGCCAACACTTGGGCAGCAATGGAGAGCATTGTATAGGCTACATATTCCAAGTCTATGGAAGATTTGATAAGCAAAGCACATAGACTATTATCTCCATGTGTGTGTTTGTTGTTTAAAAGCATATACCAGGGCTGACACAGTGGGCTGAAGCACTTGCCAGCGAGCATAACGATCTGAGTTCAATCCCCAGGATCAGGAAGGATAAAACTCTACTACTACCCATTCTCATCTGACCCTTTCACACATACCATTACATGTGTGTGCCTGTACACATGCACACATGCACACATGCACACAATATAAATAAATTAATATAATAAAATCTTAAGCACATAACATAAAACTTATGGTCAGAGCCATTTCTAAGTGCCCAGTACAACAGAACTAACTGAATGTGTCCCATACAGTAGATCCCCTACAACAAAGAATTCACATCCTTGGACTCCCCTCCTTCCCAGTTCCCAGACAAACACGATTCTACTCTGTAGGAGTCTGGCTACCTTAGATACCTCCATATATGGGCCTATGTAATGTTTTATTTTTTGTAACAGCATTACCAAATTAACATACAATTCACAACTTCGTCCATATTGCAATGAACAAGATTTTTTCGTTTAAAATTATATATATATAATATATATGGCATATATATGTATATATGGCATATATATATGTATATATACATACATATATGTATGTCTGTACATATATATGTATATATGTATATATATGCCATATATATACAAAAAATCAATACAGGAAATATGGCATATATATATATATGGCATATATATATGCCATATTTCCTGTATTGATTTTTTTTATTTTGTGGGCATTTCATCATTCATTTATCCACTGAGAGACATTTATGTTACCTCTACCTTTTTGCTATGATGCATAATGCTATCATAGGCTCAAATATATGCAAATTTCACTCGTGTTTATGTATTTTCATTTGTCTATAATACATTTGTGTGCACATGTGGGTATATAAAGTAGACATAAAATTCATAAACACTAAGTCAGAGGAATCTTCACCAAATGAATTCTCCCAGGAGTGATGATCCTCCCTCTACTGTCTTTCAGGAAGAAATATTTATAGGAACCTCAGCATAGCCAGTACACTAACAGGATATCATTTATCCATCAATCACAGGTGAGAGAGATGATCCAAGAAAAGCTATGGTTACATAGAAGAGCATCAGCAACTTCATAACTTAATGTTGTGGATATTGTGGCTATTACAGTGGGGTTTGTGGCCATTACAGATGCATCTAACAAACACTACCTGACCGGAAATCTATGGTGGGCACTCACAGCATGAAGTACAGAGGTCCACTGACCATTCCCTGTGAACATTAGAGAGGAATAGGCTAAGCAAGGACACTGGCCTTGGTAACACCTGCAGTTGTTGTGAAAGACTGCTTTATGTGAAGATGTGTTACATTTGTTTACGTAACACAATGTTACTTTAACTATGTAAAGGTGTGTGGCGAGTGTTTATGTTGCTTTTGTTTAACTAAGGAAAGATGTGTTGCTGTTTTACCTTGCCTGCTTAAGACACCTAATTTGTCTAATAAAAGTCTGAAGACTCAATAGATAGGCAGTAGACAGATAGATGGGGCTGGAGGGCAAAGAGAATAAGTAGGAGAAGAGAAGAGAGAATGAGAGGAGAGAACAAGGGATAAAGAGAGGGGGATGCCCAGGGACAGCAAGTCAGGCAGCTGTCTGACAGACAGACACGGAGTAGGACATACAGGAAAAAATGAAGGTAAGAAAGTCCTGAGGCAAAATGCAGATGAAAAGAAATAGGATAATTTAAGTTATAAGAGTTCATGGGACAAGCATAAGATAAAGCCAAGCATTCATAACTAATAATGAGTCTCTGTGTCGTGATTTGGGAGCTGGCTGGTGGCCCAAAGGGAAGCCTGATGTAGACGATGGTGTCTAAGGTCTGCATCTTACTCCCTTAGAAAATGGACTTTCCATGCTTAGGTGGTCTTCAGAGCTGTCCTCACTTCCTTGGCTCCGAGAACCTGTCTCTCATTAGAGAGGGACTGGCTTATATTTCAGTTAGCAACACTCTCCTTCTCTGCCTCTTCTCTCGTATCTATTTCTTGAACATTCCCACTGAAATCATCGCATAGCTTCACTGAGAATTTGTTTCTCGAGACAGCTGGAAGCAAAGTGAGTTGCACTCTGACCACTGTCCTTGATTTCAGAAAAGGTCGTGTTACCTTTCAGTCTTTTGGCAGCAGGAATGAGGCCCAAATCATCCTTGTTCATCAAGGGTATTGGATTCACTGAGGAGGGTGTAATCAGAGTCACCATTAATATGCACAGCTCTCAGAATGAACCTTAAGGGAAGCTGGTCGATGTGAGAGCAGTTCTCAGCACTCCTGGCAAGGAAAATCAATGATTGTTTTGACACCTTCACATCAGCATGGAGCCATGCGGAGACCAGTGGCAGAGACGACAGAGAGCCAGATGTTTCCACCGCAGCTGTGGGGTGTCAAGTGAGAAGCTTGGTCCTCCAGGTCTCAGACTTCATAAAGAATACCAGTCACCCAGTGATTATACCTATGATGTATATCAGTTCCTGACCCATGCCAATATCTGTGTACTCTTAAGGGTCATCCAGCACTTCAGGGTCAAGTCAAAATGAAAACTGAGCCAACTCAACTCTGTAGAACCCTTGGTTCTACAGATGGATCTAACTGGATGAGTTCTGAACGATGAGGAATTTCAGAGTCAGCAGACGTAATCTATTGGATGGATACCTGGTAAAAGTGATCTCCATTCAGTGAACTTCCTTTTCACTCAGTTGGCTATTTCCATTGCTGCACAGACACCTTTTAGTTTTGTGATATCTCATTTGTCAATTGTTGGTACTAATTACTGAGGAAATGGAATTCTCTTCAGAAATCCCTGAAGGGCTTCTGTAAGTACTCTTTGTGGGCCTCGACAGTTCTGTGTTTTGATCTAGAAGTTTCAGCAATTCAGGTTTCACACTAAGACCTTTGATCTATTTGGAGTCAGGTTTTTTTTTTTACACGTTTATAGATATGGTCCACTCTTCTATATGTGGACATCTAGTTTTCCAGCACCATTTGTTAAGGTTTGGTGCATATTTTTCATTTAGTGTATATTTTTGGCCCATTTGACAAAAATAGAAAGCTGTAGATGACATCTGTGATTGGATTTTCTATTCTGTTCTATTGATCAATCTGTCCAATTTTTGTCAATAACATACTCTTTATATTACTGTAGCTCTGTAATATAGCTTGAAATCTGGTATACTAATTCCTCCAACCTTGGTTTTTTGCTTAGAGTTCCTTTGGCTATCTGGGGTCTTTTCTGATTCTACATAATTTTAAGATGGTTTATCCTGCTTTGTGAAGATTGTCATGGGGATTTTTCTTAGGACTGCATTGAATCTGTAACTTGATTTTGGTAGGATAATCATTTTACAATGTTAATTCTACCAATCTATGAGTGTGAGAGGTATATCTCCTAGTCTGTTCCCCAATCTCTATCTTCAGCAACTTAAAGCTTTCATTATAAAGATTTTCACATCCTTGGTTGAATTTACTCCTAGATATTTTTTTGAGACTGATGTTAATGTGAATGTTTCTATTGTTTCTTTCTCAGTAAGGTTTTTATTAGTATACAAAAAGTATGATAATAAAAACAGTGTGCTATTACTGGCACAAAAACAAACCAGGAAGATCCAGGGAACAGACTAGAGGACTCAGATATGAACCCGTGAATCTGCAGCCACTTGGCTTTTGATAAATATCTAAAAATACCAGAGAGAAGATAAGCCTCTTCAACAAGTGATGCCAGACGACCGGTATCCTCGTGTAGAAGAACGAAACCAGGCTCTTATTCCTCTGCTTGCACAAAAATCAACTCTCGGTGGATCAGAGATCTTAATCTAGGGTCTAAAACTCATGGAAAAGTTGGAAAAATTATTCAAGACGCAGGCATAGGGAATGACTTATCACTTGGAAAACAATTGCTCAGGAAAGAAGACCAATTATCAACAATGAGAACCTCCTACAGTTAAAATGCTTGGGTACAGCAGAAGAAACTGTTAAGTGAGGAAGCCACCTACAGAGAGGGAGGAAACCTTTGCCAGAAGATATCAATGTAAGTGTAAACCTGATAAAGGATAAATATCTAGGAAATACAAAGAACCCAAAAAAATTAAACAAGGAAAGAATTTTCTAAAAATGGGCTGGGGGGCTTAAAACAGAATTGTTCAAGGAGAAAATTCAAAAGGTCAACAAATAATTGAGAAAGTGCTCAAAATCTTGAGCCATCAGGGATGGGAAAATTAAATCATACTGACATTCCATCTTACTCTCACAAGAATGGCTATTGTCAAATTTAAAAAAAAAATAAGCAATACCCAAGAGA